GTTTACGAAAAAATCGGGTGAGACGGGTGGTCTGGGACACCCTGTATAACAACACGAATGAACGTATGTGGTTTGTCATAATAAAGTTGTGACGCATTTTTTCAATAAATTTTGCAACGCATCTCGTATCCAATAGGAAAATATATCTCCTGAGAATTACTAAAAAAATTAGACACGGAATGTATTCCAAAATACAGTGTTGCCACCTTTCCGTGACTAATTATGTATTACAGTGAATACGAGTGTATACGAGTGCACAAGTCGAGAATTGCAGATAATATTTAAGGATAAAAAAGGAAAAAAATATAATATATGTAATAATTAAGCCAATAATAATTACGCAAATATTTCATTTTTTACAATTGAGGTTCATTATTCCTCAAATGCTTCTCTCGTTTTTACAGCCGCGAGAATACTGACTATATTATGTATGAATTCAAAAATTGAACATCTTTAACAATGATGCTGTCATGTACCTTGAACGGTCTTTCTTTGCCTTGGTTGACGGCAAACTCAATCCTTTCAATTTTAATTCAAACTTTTTACCATTTCCGGAGATTAAATTTTTAAAGAAATAAATGATGACTTATTTAAAGTGTTTAATTATTTATTCAGGATATTTATTCTGACAGTCTTCATGAAGGAAATATATTGATTTTTAATTATCACTCGTATTATATTCAGAATCAAATTAATTACTGAACTTATTCGATAAAGTTTATTTATTTTATAAAGTTGAAAGAGAAAAGAGAAGATCTCGCGACGTGTCCAATGTGTTTTATCAATGCAACGCGCACGTACTTGCGTGTGAAAATAAATCGTTTCGTGTTTGCAATCAAGTTAAGCCGTACGAATATAAACGAAAGAACGCTTTTATTCTTGTAAAAGAAAGCGAATGGTTATTATCAATTCGATGTGACGGTTATGAAATACATTTTGATACGCTTGATATCACTGTAAGTATTCTGATCTTCTCGTCAGATATAAAAAATGAATATGGATGACAAAAATGTAAATTAAATTTTCTGTTATTTCTACTGCTTACCGTATACTGGATTTTTTAATTGTTTCAATACGATTTAATAGGTTTGATAATCGAGTATATATTATATAAATATAGATAAACATACGGGAACGGTCTGATATGTAGTGGGATTTGAAATGAAAACGCAATTTTCGGAAAAATTTCGATTTATTTTTCAACATAGTCCACTTTCATTTCTATATACTTCTTCCAACTATGCTGTAGCTTGATCTCAATAGAATAACTTGCAATGTACTTCGTTTTAACAAATACTTTAGAGTTTATTTTACTTGCATGTTGGAGCTGTTCAGTAAACAGCTTAGTCTCATTTTCAACTTGATCAGACGTTTTAAGCAAAGTATTAAGCTTAATATTTTTTTCCAAGTAAGCTGAATAATTGCTCCAGTCAACTTTTTTAGTAACTAGTGATGGGTTTTCCTTGCATACTATTGTGTCGTACAGGATTAAGATAACCGGAGTATGATCGGAACTGAGATCTAGACAGGTCACTACATTTATATAGTTTGTTGACAGTCCCTTGGTGACGAAAAAGTCTATCACATCGGGGAACTTGTTGGTATCAGCTGGCCAATAGCTCGAGCTTCCACTAGATAAGAAGTCACACTTTAGCATTTTACCTGCTTGAAATAATGCTTTACCTTTACTTGAAGAGTATCTGCTGCACCAATACGTGTGTTTAGCGTTAAAGTCTCCTCCCACAATGAAAGAGTTTTCGAGAGTTTGGAGAAACTCAATATATTCGTTCTGCTGAATGTTGTGCCTAGGTAGACTATAGACTGCAGAAATTGTGAATTTATATCTTTTGCATTGAACGCTAACCGTAGCTGCTTGTATGCTTTCTGTTGCTAGTTTTGGTTCTTCATGGTGTTTTATATTCTCCCGAATTATTATAGCAGTCCCTCCACGGGCTTTATTAGATGGGTGAATAGTATGATACGTTTCATATCCGATAATTCTAAAATTAGATTCTTTCGTGAAGTGGGTTTCAGAAATCAAGCATATATCAATCTTCTGGTCATCCAGAAAGATCTCTAGTTCAGATTTATGTTTGCTTAGTCCATTTGCATTCCATGTTACAATACGAATTGATCCCGCCATTATTATTACATAATTTTTGCTAATTTAGTATCTATCATGTTAAACTTCTTATTATAAAATTCATCCCTTAGATCAAGGCGGTTAGTAAGTTTCTCCAGTGCCTCCAAGATTTTTGCAATTTCATTTCCACAATTCATTATAGGGTCCTTCGGGTTACCTTGTGTTACGCAGTCCGCATACGTAGCTCTAGTCTTGTTTGACTCCAGTACGGCTAGATCCACCTTAAAGTGCTCCTTGCCTAATTCGGCTTGTCGTTCTTTTATGATTTGCTTGAAACGGCTGCTAGCTTTTCTCTTGCTATTATTAATTTCATTTCTTCGCTTTTGTAGTTCTTTAGCAATAATGCAACCCCGATAGTTGGCAGTATGGGCTTTACTACGCAGTTGACGCAGAGTGACTGGAGAGCTCCTTGGTTTAAGACAAGCCTCTGTAGAGTGATCGCCAGCACATTTGACACATCGTACTCTTCTGTGACAACTGCTACGAACATGATTATAACTTTGACAGTTCTTACATTTCACGATTCTGGTTGAATTCTTACGAATTGCTTCAATTTTTACGACTTGATAGGCGATAGTCTTAATACTANACTATTGACTCGGAGTTTTCAAAGGTAAGCATGTATAGTCTTAGCTTGATTTGGGACTTGATCGTCTTATGTTCCACAGTTGGATCTTTACTAAACTCAGTCTTACGAATATTCACCGCTGAGATAATTTTAAAATCTTTGGCTTTTAGATCTTCTATGATGACTGTAAGGTCAGTAGCCGGGTCAAGACCTCTTGCCATCACTTTAAAGGGATGTTTTTATCTGCATAAGTGTGCCATTCGATTTGCTGGCCCACTTTTTTCTCTGTGTTCAGCATTTTAGTAAAGTCACGATACTCATCACCATTTAGACAATTAACCTTAGTATCACCAGATGGGAGAGTGGATATTCTACCTTTAAATCTCATATTCCGTAATTTATCCGTAACTTTGTTAATGTCGTTTGGTCCACTAATAAAAATGGGAGAAGGGGCAATTTCCTTACTTAATTTCTTGATAGGTATTTGCACTACCTGCCGTGAGGAGGAATTGGTACTTGGAGGTGTTACTACATCTACTGGCGAGTTAGTAGCCTTCCTTTTCTTACTCTGATATATTAGATAATGACGAAATTGGTCATTGCATGTATTTTAAGAAATTATTTATTTATTTTTTATAGTGTTGCGCGAGTGGAGTCATCTCGGATAGTGTGGGGTGCCCTTCACAGCGCGATAAAGCGGGAGGCGTTAGTGATGTTCGGTGTCAAATAACTTATCTCTTGTTGAAAAAATGAACTTGTCTTTATTATGTTGTCCGCCCGATACAATATTTCTGATGTGACCGACAGCGTGTCGGTTCCCAAGAGTTGAGAGTCTAGAGTTGCCCCTCGCGCCGGTATCACGTCCCCTTTCATCCTCTTCTAATGTCTAAATCAGATGGGACGGTTTTGATGTGTCAGCGTCACTTGAGTGTGGATGCTGATCATCCTGATTTCGATATTTCCTTTGCCAGAATGCAGGGTTGCATTTCTGCAGAGCGACATTTGGTAATTCGAGCCGTGACATTCGTTTATGGTCATCGACATGTTTCATCGTTATGCTTATAACAATAGGTATTTATTCTATTATTTTTTTTTTTTAATACTGTGACGTGGCGGCTCGGAGCGCCCGTCCCAAGGGCGAAAGCCTTATCG